TTGAGTCCCACATTGGGCTCCCCCCGCAGAGAGCCTGCTTCTCCTTCTGCCTGTATCTCTGCCTCTGTCTCTCATGAATAAATAAAATCTTTTAAAAAAGATAACGTTTGTACAAAAACTGAAAAAAGTACAATGATGTAGCAATCATACTATCTTCAAAGTAATGGAACACAATCAGAATCCTCCTGAAAACTCCTATGAGGAGTTACAAGTATATTTCTGTAAAACGCTGGATGGCACTGTAGTATGTACTTACACAGGACATACTCCAACTGAAGTTCTTTAAAATTAGACCATGAACAGAGGCATGAAGACAATCTTTTAGCTTTTAAAATTTTTATCACTTAATGCCTAGATTCCTGGAAAAACACTAATTTTTGATAATAAATTAGATCGTTCTACTGAATGCTCTTATCACTTTATAATAGCTTAGGAAGACATTTATCTGTTCTGTATCCAAGACTCTACTAGTTCTCTAGATAAAAAATACAATGAAAATTGGTCTTTGCCCAAAAAAGAAGAAACATAGAAAGAAAGAAAGAAAGAAAGAAAGAAAGAAAGAAAGAAAGAAAGAAAGAAAGAAAGGAAGGAAAGAAAGAAAAAGAGAAAATTGGTCTTTGCAAGATCTTGTTTTCCCTTGTTACATACTACTGTAAGCACCTGCTAAAGGCTCAGACAATAAGGTGAGACATGACTGCCACCGTGTGGGCAGTAAAATTACACAGATTTCAAAATCAAACCTTCAATTTAGTAAGAGAATTGTCATATTCTTTACTCCAAAATACAATGGAAACGATAAGTACTATTTGAGTTATATTATTCTAAATCCATTAATGTGATGTTCAGTCTTGGTACAAGTAGTTGGACACTACTATTAAACTGCAAAATGCCAGTTATGAAAATTATCTACATCCTTGTTGCTCAAAGTATGTTCCACAGACCAGCAGCATCTGCACGACCTGAGAGCTTGTTAGAGCAGTCAGACCCTACCTCAGATGCCCTGACTCCAAATCTGCCTTTTAACAAGATGCCCAGGGGACTCCATACACACTACAGGCCAAGAAGTGTTCATCTACAGTTAAGTGCCTCCAGTAGGGGATCTCACTCCACCCAATGAAGGGTAGGTGACTTTTACCAGAAAGCCCACCTACTTAAGAAAAATATTGTTCGTCTTACTTGAATTGACTTTATCTTTGCAAATGTAGGAATCTATTTTATCTATTATTTGCTTAGGTTAAACTAATGGGATTAATTCCACAATTCAGAGAAAAAATTAAAACAGATTTTCCAGAGAAAAGGGCTTGTTTAGTTTCAGGAGAGATTAGAGTATTTTATTTTGCCCAATCAGAGCCCTTCAGCATAAAGAGACATTCATATACATATATATGAACATTTTCCAGAAACATTATAATACATTTTTTTAAAATACCAGCTTAACGGTATTTATTTACAAAAATATTTCATTACCTAATTTTAAACCTTTTGCTGTGATGACATTTTGTAAAGTACAGGAATGCAAAATAACTACAAAGTTTAACACATTTTTAGTGTTTGCAATAGTGCTTTTTTTGTTTTTGTTTAAAATGAAACAGTACACAGATTTTTTTTAACCGTATTTAAAATGCATATTCCAGCAATTACCTTGAGATAGTTACTGGACTGAGCAAAATTAAAAAAAAAAAGTGCAGCAACTGAAAACTGCCTGCGGGTTTAAGGTAGACACAAGCTAGAGCTCTATACCAAGCATGCTTGCCCCTGAAGTGGACAATGTTAGAAAAACTTATTCTTGCTCTTTTTAATATTGTTTTGGTGATGCATTTACAATGAACCAATAGTATAACTAGAAAAGAAATGTTTTTCTGGTTCTATCATGTTAAGCAGAGGTCACACCTAAAGTATCACAGTACCATTTATTTACAAAAAAAAATTACAAAATTTAAAATATGATTTACTCTCTTTGCATTGCTTTCTACTGGCATGTTGAGTCTGTTTTTAACTCCTCACATTGTCTTCAGTTGAAGCAAAGTTAGAACACAAAACACTTATTAGCAAAGTATATTTAAAAAAATGAAACTCCCAAATAGGAACCCATTGCCATTAGCCAATGTCCATTTAAAATGCCTGAGCCAAACAATCTACAATAAATTAATACTGACTTATTTACATCTCATACACTATAAAATTTTAATTTAAACTATGAGCCTCATTGCAAAATACCGGCAAAACTGACATTCATGGTTTTTCTGATGTAGAGTGCAATATGCAATAAAAAGAGCAATTACATGTAGCCCTGGACTACTGTACTCAATTTGTAAATGAATTATGCCTAGTGATTTAAGACTGTATTGATAACTGAAGAAAAAAAACATGTTATAACCCTGACAACTGGGAATTTAATTCAGCTGAGAAAGGTAAAGTTTTCCCTTTAATTTTTGTTGTTGTTGTTATACCTATTTTCTGTCCACAGAACCTTTAAAACTTCTGTGGCAGTAGTAAGATCATTAATATTCACAGGAAAAATAATCCCCATAGCACTTTACAAGAAATTGATCAGTGATGAAAAGTGTGATTAACAAAAGCTGTAAACAAGTATCTTCACATTCATTTTCAAATGAAAAAAAATCATTTGTGGGCTTAAATTTCAATCCAATAGAACACTCTAAAAGGGAAAAGAAAAAAAGGAGGACACTAAAGATAGAGAAGTGCTCTTTTTCAAAGTAAATACAGATTAAAAAGTCTAGGAATAGTGATCAAGTATCAAACTGATAAGGAACAAATTCTATAAACTACAAAATAAAAACCTTCATTGACAAAAATACATAAACTCTGTTTTCATTTTTGGAAATTTATTTTTAAAAAAGGTAGAAGAAAATACCTGGAAAACTATTTTAAATATATATATATTTTAAAACAATAGTTAAGGTAGGCATCTGACAGCAAGCTGCAGCTATGAGAAAGACTTTGCAATTACTGTTGTGGGCATTTTCCCCAAAATAAAATTAATATTTGAAAATGCTCAATAGAGGGTTTTTTTTTAAACCATAGTAATGATTATCTTTTCCTGTCAATGCGTGAAGACTTTTGAATAATGTATGATTCTTTAAAATTAATTGTATCTCGATATGAGATACCAGTATTTCTTATTATAAGCGTAAAACATAACTTTTTGTATGGATAATATACATACTTTTTAAGTACTTTGACTTAAACTTAACAAGTTCACCATTTTTAAAATTAAAGAGTACATTTATAAAAATTTCATTTTAAAATTAAAAGTATATTCTCTAGCAGTATGTATAAATATAACATGTTACTACTGTATGATCTTAAAACAAATCTGAAAGTGTTGCAATAATTTAAGACCTAGAACACTGAAACATACAGCAAATGATTTTACTATTTGTTTCCTTGAAAACTATATAAAGCCCTATTGAAGGTTTTAAGACTATGATCAGTTTAATTGTTTAAGGTGCAGCTAGCAGCATATTCATGATTTTGGTATGTTTTATACATATGCATCACTTAATTTTAACTGAGAAATGTGGATTAAATGATAATAAAAAGTTTTCATTACCTAAAAAAGTGCAGAAAAAATTCAAGTTTAAAGTTCAGTGCTCATTGTTTTGCAAAAACAAATAAACAAAATCCCCAAAGTTAAAATGTAAAATAAATCTTTGCCACAAAAAATTTACCTTTGGATATAGCTTTTCTAATGTCATTGAGAAAATGCCTTCAGCAAAATATATATGGAATCTGGAACTCAGGGTAAAACTGCACTACTGTCTTCCTTTCCTCAGCTGTCTCCCTACCACCCCCTGTAACCTAAAAATGTGTAACACTTTCAGACTTGTTTATAACACTCACATACCTACACGAAAGAACTTCAGAGAAACCTACAATTAAGAAGGTCTAAGCAAAAAAAAAAAAAAAAAAAAAAAAAAGGGTTCTTTACTATAAAGTACTGTACTTAAATTGTAATATACTACACATAACATAGACAAGTAGCAGCATTTTTTTTTCACATCCATAAAGAAAATCAAATTAAGAAGTCAGTCATAGCTCAGTGATATCTATAACCATTTTTGGAAACACTTTGTACAATTGAAATGCAAACCCAGGGCATTAAGATGATGCAAAACTTCAAATGGATGTAATATACAGAATTTGTCAGAGTAGATGATTTCAAAGAAGTTTCTAAGCAAATACATATAAATTTTATTTTGAAGAGTGAGCTGGATTTGCGGTACATATGGGGAAACAACTTCCTATTGACAAGCTGCTAATTAATGAATACTTCAATGATTTTAGAGCCAAGGACAAATGCAACAAAGAATAATGTCCTCAAGTGAGGATATGGAGGAAGCACACACATATCTTTCATTTTTCTAATATTTTCTATTTTTGACTTTTTTTTTTGGTTTGTTTTCCTGAAATCCTGGCTTGCTGGTGACTGTTACTTTTTGCACTTAAAAAGAAAAAAAAATAGAGATGTTATCTCTCAAATTACAATAAATTCCCTGGGTTAGTTATTACTGCAGACTCTCTTATCTACAGACTGAATCAAGTATAACTCGGAGAAGCTATTTCCTATTCTCAAAAATACTTCAAGCTTTCTAGTCTTAAAGTGAGTTTCTAGGTTTGCTGTGCATAATCTGTAGATTAATTTAAAAACGAAATAAAGTAACTCAAAATATTGATTTAACATTTTCTTATAAAATCCATCTCAGATAAATGTATCTACTTCTATATTTGAAAATAATTACAAGATTAGTTCATTTTATATACAACAGGAAAAATGACCATAGAAATAAAGTTGATGTACAATTAACACAAAAAAACACAGCAAATTAAATAACTGGAGCCAATATGCCCTTCCTCATAATAGGGAATCAACCAGTATACTATTTTACTGAATGCTTCTCAACTTCAAATCCGTAACTGTTGATTTTATTGATGACATTCTCAGAACTGTACCTTAAAAAAGGGCCTAATACTTCCTGTGACAGATCACGGAACAACATGTTTATTAGATAACACAGGATACAAATTAAGCCATCTATAAACTGCTGTTCATCATATCGCTGACATTAATTAAACAGAAATATGTTATCCATAGGTATTTTCTACAAATTCAAAAACTTTTGAAAATGATTACTTTTAAAATATTTATTTTGGCTCTATCAATTATCTCTATCACATATATTTAGTCCCTCCCTAATAATATTCAAAGTAAATTTTAATGTAAACTTTTGTATCCCATAGTGCACATTATAAAATGTAAACATAAAAGCATTATTAATGAAAAGAATAAAGAGGAACAGATGCATAACAGACTGCATGGAATTAGGGTGTTCTAAATATACCTTTAATGATCATATGGAATAGAAAAAACAACCATCAAATTTGCTATCAATTTGTGCTCTGATTATCTCTTAATGAAGGAAGAAAACTGTTTTAAACAATTTTTTATAGAAGAAAATATTTAAATTTCATTACTATTAAATGTAATGCTTTTATTTTGCTCTTCCTTTGTTGCTCTAAGAACACCAATAATAATCTCAGATGAGCCTGCATTATCAGATCACTTACTTTCAGGTCTACGAAGTTATCTTTTCCCTGTCTGCAAAGCTATTCTAGGAACCAATCATTTATTGTCCACTGATGGTCTCATTTGCATTATACTCCAATACAGAAATAATTTAGTTACCAAAATGCACATATGTTCCTTTCCTTTTGGCTTTTTAAACCTTGAAAGGACATGTACAGATTTATAGTATATTTCTACAGAAAATATTTTGTAGGTCATCAGACTAGACTCTTATATAGATAATTATTGACAACAGATGCTTGTAATTTCCCATGCGACAGCATGTGCACTAAGATTTAATCGGCTCATCACCTGAGTGTACTGGAACTGTTAGCAAATAAAGGGCATTTTAAAAAGGGAGCTGAGCATTTTACTGAAATAATGAAACTTTTTTTTTTAGCAATTTTAATTAAATAATGCAAAGGTACATTTGGTTAAACATTTTATAAAAATTCAAGCAAAATTAAAAACTTAGCCAATTTCAACATTTCTACAAATTTAACCTGTAACTATTTTGGTCAAATCCACCTTTAGCTGAATTAATGAGAACAAGGACAAGGGACATTGAAGTATTCTCCTCACCACAATGGAGGTTTTTCTCACTTTCCACACTGTATAGCCACTACATGGAAACTCCCAGAATGATGAGCGTTCAGTCATGCTCTACACTTTTCTTTTCAATGAAAAGTGATGTATCGCCTTGTTTTGCTTTTGACAAAATATGGACTAAACACAAGTATACAATAACAAGAATCCAAGAGTAGCCCATACACAAGTCAACTATGTGTATGTTTTTATTATTTAAAGCCCACCATTCAGCTTATCTGTCTAAAGATATGGTAACAAACAGTTTGTTTCTTTTTCACTAATGATACTGATGACCATTCAGTTTAAGGGAGGGAAAGTCCAAGACAGCTGTTTGTTAATTCAGTCAATGACACAAACATAACTATTTCAGCTTCAGGACTTCTGACTTATTGCCTCTCCCTCAATGAGGTCAAACACTGATGGCAGATACAACAGCACAAAATCTTTTGGCATATGAAAGTTTAATACAGGAATGATCTAGGAATAGTCCCTGCTAGGTCTCCTCAACATCCCCCTTTGTTTCTTCATCCATAACATGTGACCTGCTTAGTTCCCAAGCTGTCAACCCACAGCTGCCACACACCATCTACTCCGCTGTGTGTGTGTGTGGACACTCCTCAGTTAAAGCCACATGACTGAGGTAAAACAGTGCATGATTGTGCTAGGAAAGAACAGTATCCAGTGACGAACATCCCTTTAACGTTAACTTCCCTAAAGTGAAATCAATAAAATAAAAAAGGAAAATTCTTTTTCCTTCTGGCTGAAGTTGGACTTAGTTGGATTTCTGGTTGTCAGAACTGGTACCACTTCTTATCTTTGTATTTCAACATCATCTAGAGGGGAGAAAACACACAAATAATGTTTTAAAAATGCCAGAACAACAATATTTATGTTATAACTGAATTCTATATATTTCCCAAACATTATATCATTCTGAAACATATTATAGTGTTACTATATTGCTTACTTCAAATCACTTTATACTGAAAGCAATAAGTAAGACCTATTCCATTTAGAGAAAAAAAAAGACCATACCTATGAAGAACTACAGCCCAGAAAGTCCTCTTATTTTTTTAGAGACATGACATTATCAAACTTTGGCTCAGCATATTCTTTGGTGACCTAAGCTAATATCTTACAAATAAGGTAATTATCAGTTCTCTGATATGAACTAAAAACAATGGTTAAAGAACCTAGTGAATGAAAGGTTGAAAACTCCTCTTGCTGCCATCAAAAATGTACCGAGCACTTCCTCTGAGGTAGGCACTGTATGGCACACCTTCCCAATCATTTGGTCTTCACAGCTCTACAGGTTAGAGATTATTATTCTCCTCATCTTATAAATGAAGGAAATAAGGCTTATATGGGTTACCCAACGTAACACAAGGGTGAAACTGGGATTTGAGCCCATGTGGTCTGATCCAAGAACCCACGAGCTTCATCACCTCAATATATTATCTTCAAAGACTCAAATATGGCTCATAAACATAATTTGGTAGAAGTTTGAGCCTGAACTCTGCTAAATATTTAGTGTAGGGGTATATTCTGGAATTGGCTGAAGTGTTATATGCAATTAGAGATCACAATCACACACAGGGTTATGCCAACAAAATTCTTGACCAAGGTCACTAGCCTATAACTGAGGTGTGTGTTAGCCGAGTATAAGGACTCACACACATAAGGATCTCCAAACCTCTTTGAAGCCCTGAACAAATTGCTCCCAAGTCAAGTGACCTCTTTCATGCATTCCAGGTGTCAGCATTCTTGAGCAATGAAAAGATGACTTTTGATTGAAAAATTTAAAGAGCTATTACTGACAGAGTAGGTGCTCAAATCTAAAAATAACCTTAATACGGTTTCTTCAGTTAACAAACTAAAAATGTCCTCAAGGGCTAGGCTAGGAACCAAGGGTGTAAAGTAGCCCAGTGTAAAGCATCACAGAGTGGCAGATCTATGTGTCAAAATGAAGATGTATATTCTATACCTAAGGGACTTTAAAGTCAGTTTGTATAAGTGTTACTATGCTGGCCAACAAAGCTTATTTATAAGAAGGCCAGCTAGGGATCCTTTCTTTATAGCATATATTTTAAGGTCCACCATGACTTCTGACTTCATCAAGATGAATTCATTGCAAAAATGCATTTCATTCGTCCTCTGTATGAATTGGTCTACAAATAAAAATGTTTACCAATTTTAGCTATTTTAGATCAACCTAAAGAATCAAGAGAGGCAAATTATTTCCTTTTCTAGGAGTTAGTAGTAAAACCTGAAAACCCTGCATTTCCTAAAACTTTTGCAAAATCATTGGCTTTGTTTACAAAAAGCCTGAAGGTGAGCAGTTTCCTTCAAAATTTATAAACTTCAGTAAGAAACCAGACTACTGAAATATATTCTTGTAATGGCTCCCTCTGGTGGCAAATCAGGAACTTGCAAGTACAAAGGACAAATGAAAGTTCCTGTGTAGAAATACAATAGCTATTAAAAAAACAAAACAAAACATAAGAAATAGTGAAAAGGATTCTAAGGGAAAGGAGGGAAACTGAGTGGGGAGAAATTAGAGAGGAAGACAAACCATGAGCGACTCCTAACCGTGGGAAACAAACAAAGGGTTGCGGAAGAGGAGGAGGGTTAGGGGATGGCGTGATTGGGTGACAGGCACTAAAGAGGGCACTTGATGGCACTATACGTTGGCAAATTGAATTTAAATTAAAAAACCTCAACCATTTTCATACTTGTTTTAACTAGGCTATTTTTTTTTAAATATTTGTTTGATAGACATACCTCATGAGCATGTTTAGAAAATGCATCTGCACTGGACAACATAGCTGCAGTTCTTTCTTCCAGATCACCAAGTTTCTGCCCTCTTTCATCTAGTGCCAACCTGGCTCGTGCTAATTCACCAACAACTCCAGAGGCTGCTCCTTTCACACCTTCAATGCCGCCAGGGCCAGGAATATGCTGTGCAAGACTCCTTGATGCCTTTCCTGAGGATGATTCTCCAACTGAATGGATTTGATAAATCAAAGAGTAACTCAAGAAATGAAAATTTTATTAATATCTTCCTATATAACATTAAAACACAATTTTAAGGTTGAGTGACAACATTAAAACACAATTTTAAGGTTGAGTGACAATATAATTGTAATATTTATATAACTCATTTCATAATGTTTTTATATGATTTTAATAATTTTTAGTTTTTTAAACATGCAAAAACAGAAAAAGAATATTAATATTCTACTCTATATTAGTTTATACAACAAAATTTGTTTAAAAAAGGGGCTAGTAATTATTTGTTGCAATGAATAATGGGCATACTGATGCCAGTTTACAGAACAGTAAAAATTACTATTGGGTGTGCAAAAAATTAAAGATAATTAATTTAAACATAGGGATTTGATTTAGTTTATTTCTTCCATGCTTTCTCATACTTGAAATACTATGCTTAGGCTTAGAAGTAAAGGAAAATGATGAATTTATTCATTATTCTATTTTTGTGTTCATTAAGTTGTGGATATACTACATCCCTTTCTTTCCATTTCTTGTCACTTAAAAATAGATCATTTTTTTCCTTCAAAAGATCTCAGGAATTCACTGCTTCCTTTACATACATAATCCAGACCTTGATTACCTCAGAAGTCTTAAATTCTGTTAAAGATTGAGGTCCGATGTTCCCTTTTCCCTCATCATGCATTTCTCTCATTAGAAATAGAATTCCCTTACCATAAATTTGCCCCTGAATATGTTAGTAGCTTTTAGTTTATTCAGAAGGTTGTGCAACTATCATCACTAATTCCTGAACATTTTCTTAAAAACAAAACAATCCCATGCTAACTATTGGCAGTCACATCCCATTCCCCCCCACTTCTCAGTCCTTGTCAATCAATAATCTACTGTCTTTATACACTTTCCTATTCTGAACATTTCATATAAGTGGATTCATACAATCAATATGTGGCCTGTGTCTGTCTGGCTTTATTCACTTAAAATAATGTTGTTAAGGTTCAACCATGTTGTAGCATGCATCAGCACTTTATACTTCTTTTTTCTTTAAATATTTTATTTATTCATTCATGAGACACACAGAGAGAGAGCCAGAGACATAGGCAGAGGGAGAAGCATGCTCCCTGTGGGGAGTCCGATGTGGGACTTGATGCCAGGACCTTGCGATCACAACCTGAGCCAAAGGCAGACGCTCAACCACTGAGCCATCCAGGTGTCCTAGCACTTCATGCTTCCTGATGACTGAATAATACAACACTGTTTATCAGCTCATCAGTTGTTTCTACTTTCTGGCTTTTATGAATAACGCTGCTATGAACATTTGTACAAGCTTTTTTGTGAATATGTGTTTTCAATTCTCTTGGGTATATACCCAGGAGTGGAACTGTTGAGTCACATGATAACTTTATACTTAACTTTTTGAGGAATTGCCAGTTTTCCAAAGAGGTTATGCCAGTTTTATATTTCCATCATCAATGTGTGAGTTTCAATTTCTCCACATTCTTGCAAACATCTTTTTGACTACAGCCATCCTGGTGTGAAGTGGTATTTATTTGATTTGTACTTCCCTAATGAGAAATGATATTGTATCTTTTTTGCTGTGTTTATTGGCTATTTGTATATTTTGGAGAAATGACTATTCAAACCTTTTGCCCATTTAAAAACTGGGCTATTTGTCTTTATATTAAGTTCTAAGAGTTCTTTTTATATTTTGCATACTGGACTCTTATCAGATTTTAGATATATCAAATATATGATTTATAATATTTTATGATAATCTGTGGTTTGTCTTCTCACTTTCTTGATAGTGTTTTTAAATTTTATTGAAATACAATTTATCTATTTTTTTCTTCAGTTGCTTGTGATTTAGGTATAACTAAGAAGCCACTGTCTAATATAGGGTCACAGAGATCTATATCTATTTTCTTCTATGACTTTTATAGTCTTAGTGCTTACATTAAGGTTTTTGGTCCATTTTGAGTTAATTTTTGTGTATGGTGTGAGGTGAGAACACAACTTCATTCTTTTGCATATGGATATCCAGTTGTCCCAACACTCTGTTGAAAAAAAACCATTCTTTCACCTTTGAATTTTCTTAGCAGCCTTGCAGAAAATCAATTAACCATATATGTATGGACTTATTTCTAGATTCTTAATTCTATTCCATTGGTCTATGCATCTCTCCATATGCCAGTACTGTACTACCTTGATGATTAACAGCTTTGTTAAGTAACTTCAGAAATGTAAAGATGTGAGTCCTCCATCATTTTCTTCTTTAAAAAGATTTTTGTATGTGTGGCTATTTTGGATTCTTTTCATTTTCATATAAATGTTAGGAGCAGTTTGTTTCTTTCTTTCTTTTTTTTTTTTTTTAATTTTTATTTATTTATGATAGTCACAGAGAGAGAGAGAGAGAGGCAGAAACACAGGCAGAGGGAGAAGCAGGCTCCATGCACCGGGAGCCCGACGTGGGATTCGATCCTGGGTCTCCAGGATCGCGCCCTGGGCCAAAGGCAGGCGCCAAACCGCTGCGCCACCCAGGGATCCCAGTTTGTTTCTTTCTTCAAAAAAATAGCTGGGATTTTGACAGAGATTGTGCTAAATGTATAGATCAGCTTGAGGAGCTTGGCCATCTTCCTAATATTAAATCTTCAAATCCGGGAACATAGGATGTCAATCTATTTATCTATGACTTAAGATCTTCAAATGATGTTTTGAAGTTTTTAGTGCATTTTACACTCCTTTTGTTAAATTATTCTCAAGTATTTTATCTTTTTGATGCTATTATAAAAGGAACTGTTTTCTTAATTTTCATTTTGTTCACTGCTAGTACATAGAAGAAATGAAATTGATTTATACTTATCTTGTATCCTGCAATCTTGCTGAACTTATCTGTAAATTTTTTTTTTTGGTGTGGATTCCTTAAGATTATTTACAAGATTATGTTATCTGCAAATACAGACTTTTACTTTTTCCATTCCAATCTGCACGACCTTTAGTTCCTTTTCTTGCCTAATCGTCTAGAATTAAAACTCCAAGTATAAGGCTAACTAAAGAGGTAATAAGACTCTTTGAATTTCCATCTAAAGGTTATTATCAGTTATAACATTTTTGTGGGGGGAGGGCAATTCTGGTAAGGACTTCATTAAGTGTGTATCTGTGTATGCATAAATCAGTTTTGGGAGAATTGATGCCTTTTACTGAATCTTCTACTGCATGAACATGGTATATTTCTTTTGAGTCTTTAACTTCTGTCAACAAAGTTATATAGTTTTCTATTTTTCCCATAGAGGTTCTAAACATCTTCTATTAAGATTTATTTCTAAATATTCAACTTTTTTGGTATGTTTTGATAGGATATGTGGGTAGACAGAATAATATCCCCTACTCCTCTAAAAGATGACCATACTAATTCCTGGAACCTGTGATTCTATTACCTTAAACAGGAAAAGGAACACTGCAGATGTGATGAAGTTAAGGATCCAGAGATAGATTATCCAGGTAAACCCAATGTAATTACAAGCAAAGAGCTACATGCAGAGAGATATGGCTTCAGAAAAACAGAGATACAACAAAGTTGTTGGCTTTGATGCTTTAACTAGGGCAATTATATTCTCTTATCTTTCTTTATTCCTGACAGTGTTTACTTGTGCCTTCCTCTTCTTTTGTGTAGTTTCACCAGAGATTTATCAATTTTATTAGATTTTTAAATAATCAACTTCTGGCTTTGTTAATTTTTTTTTTCTATTTTGTATTTGTTTGCTAAGTCATTACTACCTTACCTATTTTTCTTTGGTTTATTTGCTGTGTTTTTTACCTTTTTGAGATGGGTCCTCAAGTTCACTCATTTTCATGTTTTCTCCTTCTAATAATACTGCATATATATTTAAGGCTATAAATACCACTGCTACTTTAAATGCATACCAATTAATATGAATTCTTTGACACATGGGTTTTTCAAAAGTTTATTTCTTAATTGTCAAACATGGGAATTTAAAATTAGCTTTGCTATTAATTATAAGCATAAATGCATTGTGATTAGATCATAAACTCTTGATTTTAATGCTTTGAAATTTGATTTTTAAAAAATCATTTGATGTGTGGTCAACCTGAACCCCAACTTTTTAAAATGCAAGTTTCAAACATATAGGAAGATAAAAGAACTATATCATAAGCATCCATACATCATCTAATTTTGATAATAGTTAACTGTTTTTGCTATGTGTCTATATATAAAATTTTTAAATAAAATATTTAAAATTCATTATACACATTATGACATTTTACTCCAAAATAATTTAGTATACCTCTGTGTGTGTTTGAAAAGAATGCATTCTGCAATGTTCTATATCTGTTCATTAGGTCTAAGTTAATTAATTGTGTTGTTCATATCTTCTATATCCTTTACTATAAGACTTATTGTTGTCTGCTTTTATATCTCAATCAATAGGCATATTCCCCCACTATGACTGAGAAATGGTCTCTTCTAGTAGTTATGTCAATATTTGTTTTTTAAAACTTTTTTAATTTTTATTTATTTATGACAGTCACACAGATAGAGAGAGAGAGGCAGAGACACAAGCAGAGGCTCCATGCACCGGGAGCCCGACGTGGGATTCAATCCCCGGTCTCCAGAATCGCGCCCTGGGCCAAAGGCGGGAGCTAAACCGCTGCGCCACCCAGGGATCCCCAATATTTGTTTTTTATATATTTTGAAGTGAAATATAAGGTACATTCATTAATGTCCTAATGTTTACACTTTGATATTAATATAGCTAAACCAGCTGATTCTTCATTTGTGTTCATGCTTTTCTTTTAGAATTTTAGTATTTGTTTTCAATGTCTTTTGTGAACAATGTGCATTTCTTTTTTTCTTTTTAAATTCAACTGGATAATTTTTGCCTTTTAAATGGGACATAATTGGGGTGCCTGGGTGGCTCAGCCAGTTAAGTGCCTGCTTTCAGCTTGCATCATGATCCTAGGGTCCTAGAATGGAGACCTGTGTCGGGCTCCCTCCTCAGTGGAGAGTCTGCTTCTCCCTTTCCTTTCCCTCACTCGTGCTATTTTTCCCTCACTTGCTCTCTCTCAAATAAATAAAATCTTAAAAAAAAAAAAAGATAAATGGGATGTTATTACTATGGTTATTTATATTTAAGTCTATCATCTTCTATGTGCTTTCTATTTACCTCATCTGTTTTGTGTTCTTTCCTCCTTTCTTGCCTTATTTTGGAAGGATTGTGATTTTCCTGTTATTCACCTGGAAGTTTTATACTAGGTTATAGAAATCACCTTAGAAATTATAACATGCATCGTTAACTTATTAATGCTACCTGATATTTTTAAAAAGTCTCTCAAAAAATGTATGATCTCAGATCACGTTAAATCCATTTTACCCTTTGTGACTCCCTTGATTTTGTTTATTTGTATGTGTATATGTATATACACATACTACAAGACTTTGATTTACAGTTTATAAAGATTATATTTATACATGCACTTATTACTTTCTAAAACATTGTTTCCTACTTCTCTGACATTCCATGGAGGATTATTTTCCCTCTATGTGAAGTACATCCTTTAGTATTTCCTTTAGTGTGGCGGCAAGTCTTATTCATTTGTTCATTTGTCTAAAAATGTCTCATTCCTGAAGGATATTTTCTAACATTGGCTGTTGAGAAGCCAGTCTCTAGCTTGTTAAAAGATACCTCATTTTCCTCTAGCCACTCTGAAGATTTTCTCTTTGTCTTTGATATGCTCTATTTTCATGTGACACATTGAGCTGTGAATTTTTTAAAATTTATTTTAGAGAGAGAGTGAGTTGGGGGGAGAAGTAGGGGAAGGGACGGAGGGGGGAAGGGGAGAGAGAAGGAGAGATGGAGGGGGGGGAGAGAGAGAATGAGAGAATATCTCAAGCAGACTCCATGACGGAGGACTTGATACCATCATTGTGAGATCATGACCTGAGCTGAAACCAAAAGTCAGGTGCTTAATTGACTAATTCAGCCAGATAACCATCAGCTGTAAATTAAAAAAAAAAAAAAACCTTAGAATTCAATAGACTTCTTGAATGTATGAATTGGTATCTTCTATCAATTCTGAAAAATTTCCAGCCATATGTCTTTACATATTGATTCTTCTTCACATGCTTTCCTATTTCTTTCTTGAGAAATTTAAACATATGTTAGATCTTCCCACTGCAACTTCTATTTCTTGTATCTTCTTTGTATTTACATTTGTTTTGCTTTTCTGTACTACATTCTAGATGGTCTATCTTGCCTATCTTCAAGCTATATAATTTTCTCTTCAGTTGTGTCTAATTTGTGGTTAAATTTATCCAGTTTTTGTTTTTGAATCTTTCAGTTCCACAATTTCATTTTTTTTACACATTTGTTGTATTGATTTTTATAGTTTTCAGTTATCTGACAAAATGTTCAAGCACAGTACTTATGAATATAATATACATAACTATTTTACAGTTTGTGTCTGATAATTCTAATATTTGAAGTAACTGTGATTCTATTTCTGCCCTTTCTGTTTTCATTGTTCATGGTATTGATTACTAGTGTTCTAGGTTAACCTGGACAACTTTTTTGAAAAATTATTTTTACAAATAATTTGAGGACTTGAATATGTTATCTGCCTTTAGAGAACATTTTCACTTGCTTCTCCCAGGTGCTGGGGACTTGAGCAGTCTGTAAAAATACTTTAATTAAGGTTGCAAGTTTTCTGGGACAGTTGATAATTTAAAGGCGAGCTCAGTCTGTGTGTCTGAGGACTGATTTATTTCTAGGTCACCTTTACTCTTAAGCCATGGCCTTTGGGGTCCTTGCAAAGAGAAGTTATTGAACAAGATCTCTATCCTTGCCTGTTCTAGGAGCCCATCTTGCTAGTATGAACACAGTTTAGTATCTCAGCCTTCTGCTTCAGATTAGCAAAGTACTCCAGGGTAAAAGTGGCCTCAGTTTGCCAGGCTCAGCACTCTGGGTTCCTATCCTTTCCCATGTCCTAACTATACCTGTTAGGCTGTCTGATGTTGTTAAAAAATTTTAAAAAAATACAATTTTTGAATTTTGTGGAACTTTATCAACTATCCTTGGTCCCCATGACTTAAAGAACAGTCTTTATTTTTAAAAATTAACACTGATCCTCTCAGTACCAAGATGATTGATCAATCATCTGGGTAAGTTTTGAAAATTAAATTATACTGCACTGCTACTTACTGATGTTTAATCTTACAGTTTTTCTAATTAGTCAAACAAACACAAAAGGAAAGTTCTATAATACTTCAGTAAAACAGAAAGAATAAAAGGAAAAAAAATTACAGACAGATAACTCCTATTTGAAAGAAAGGTCAATCATTGATTCATTAGCTCATTCAAGGACAAATTTCTACTCTGTGCAATTATGTCGAAGGCAGTAAATGAACTAGATTTTGCTATCCTAAATAACCTTCTAGTTCAATGATAATAGTTCTGGAGGTTTTGTAAAATAAATGTTTAGATTAAAAACTTTTTCAAAGTTAATGTCATCAATTAAAGTTAATTATAGAATTGAAATAATAAGATCACATTTAATGAAAATAAAATGCTTTCTAAACCATTCATTTAAAGTTGTGAATACTCCTTTTCTTAATTAATTAATTAATTAATTAATTAATTTAGTGAATACTCCTTTTTAACCACCCCTGATTTTGGTTAGAATGACAGAAAAAAACCTTTTATGTATTTTTGCTAAAAACATGGATATATTAATTACTATGACAGGAAGAAAAAGGTGATCATAATTTATACATAAGAAGAATTTAAATGGCTTGAATGTTTCAGTTTTACAGATACAATATCCAAATTAAATAAATCAACTTACATAGTTCTTCTCTATCAAGAGATTGTGCACCACCTCCAAATAAGCCTTTAAAGAATCCCCTGTTTGGTGCTTCAGGTGCTTCTACAGGAGTGAAGAGTTCACCCAACATCTCCTTTAAAATCAAAACAAACTGTAATTGGTAAAGTTACAGGGAAACTCAAATATAATTCACAAAACTGTCACTATAAACTCTAATTTAAGCTTATAATCTGTTGAGATTCACAATTAATGAGCCTGTTTCAAGTGACTACATCTAGTACCTACTGATCTAGTCAAACAGTTGACTGAAGCAGCATAACTTGCTGCTTGCTACTTTGGCTAGATTATTTTCCTTATGTTTCAAGCAAAGCTGATATTCTTGCTTAACTGTAACAAGATTTCAATTATTATGACAAAATTTTCCCATAATTCTTAACAGGATTAATAATTAGGTCTTCCTACATTAGGAATAAGAAAAGCTACCAGTAAAGTTGAAAACTTTTAGTGTGATGATGATGATGATGATGATATACAGTTTTGGAATTATCATGTTCAGCTGAATCAGAAAATTAGTAATTTAGAAAGACACTTCTTTTTTCATAAACATAGCCTAGGAAGAGAATTATGCCCATGCGCGTTTTATTAATTAAAACTAACAGTACCAAGTTAACAAGTCAAACAATTAAAGTCTTTTTATATTCCATAAAATATTACAGAAAAGTTTGTGTTTCAGTAAAAAGACTATTGTTTAGAACAGGCAGCTGACAGCAACTGTGCGGTTAATGGTTCTTTATGAATAAATTTTAAAAGGGACTATACTGCCTGTCCTGAAATTCCTTTTTCTTTTTATAAAAAAAGAACTATTAAAAATGATTGACAAATCATAAAAAATTATTTTTTATTATTTTTTAAGCAAACTATATTTACTGTTTACAGTAGCGAAGGACAACAAATCATGTACAATTTGGTGAATAAACAGAACAGAGCCAGCCGACCTCCCACCCTCGCCCGGACAGCAGAACACAAAGGAAACACAAAGGCCTTCGGCAAGATTTCAGGCAGGTGAGGGACGATGTCGCGGTCCCGCTCGGGAACTAGGACCGGTGGCAGTGGGTGCGCATGCAGCAGCAGGAGAAGCAGCCGTGTAACTGGTACAGAACAAAATCACGTCCTAAAGCATACACCCCACACCTACTGGGAAAGCAGCGCAGCCCACGTCCACGAGGGTAATGCCAAGTCACCGCTGCAGGGGCTCCACCGCTAACATACTGAAATTCCAGAAATGTGGCAGGGATATGGGAAGGTTTCTTTCTATATTGTTTGAAATTGCTCTCACTATTCTTCAGAGCATAGAAATGGTAAACTAACTCAGGAGACAAGAAAGGTTGCTGACATGTTATCAACTTTGTAGATAATATACAGAGAGGGAAGAGGAATTTCTGTAAGGATGGTAGCAATATTATTTATAAGGCAGCTGGGAAGCTTTAGAAGCAAAATAAAAATACAGTGAAGCTTTGGGATTGCATTTCTGCCCACTTAAGAGAAGAAGCTATGATACAAAAGACAAGTACATTATTGGTTCCAGGTAGGAGTTCTGCTGTATCTGGTTTTACATTATTATAGTTGAAGATAAAGCATGTACTTTTTAGAGTTTCTTCCTTAGGGCTGGGCTATGAAAGTTAATAAAGGGTGTCCAAAGATTTTACTTTTAAGTATATTCATATTAATGTTGTTTGTCCAACCAGATTATAAATGGGAAGAGATAATTGTTAACAAAATATAATACGGAGTTTCACTTATAATGTTGAGGTGGATTGAAGCCTATACATTTTAATTTTCTTTTCTCTGATATTCTACGAAGTGGAGTAAAACTGGAATGAAAAATTTCAAGTCAATAAGTCAAACATTTTAAAACTTATCATAGAATATACTGATAACTGTTATATAATACAAATTTATATTACAAGGTGATTTTAGGCATATTCTCAATGTGTAAAACAGATTCTCATTTAAACTGTATCTACTAAATTGATACAACAAAAATGGCAAACAGCTACCATTTGAGGGTCTTTTATGAGTAACATGACATATAACAAGTGATAGTGTAAAGATAAGCATTTTAAAATTTATTTTAGAATAATGGTTTACAGCTCTTTATTTGGTGTTTACTGAGCTTATAACTTTACAAATGTAAAGTACGAAATATTTAAAAAATATGTATTGTAGCTTGTGTTTCCTTGTGTTTCTTTGGAAAGCCTTCTCTTGCTCCTTCTGAACCCCTCATCTCCAAGTAAATGCTGCTTTCTCTCACTACAGCTTAATTTATATTTTCTTTAGTTTTATATAAGTGGAATCATACAACATTGTGAAGTTTTTCTTTTTATTTGCTTGCCTTATTTCACTCAGTATAAAATTACTGTGAGATTCATCCATGATACTGAATGTTATCAACCGTTCATTCCTTTCTATTGATGACTTGTATACTGCAATTTGATTATTCATTGATCTGTTGATAGACACTTGGGTAAGTTTCCAGTTTTTTGGCTAGTACAAGTAAAACAGTTACAAATATCAACTGCCTCTTAAGTTAAAAAACTAGGGAATAGAATGGCTAGATACTTGGTTTATGAATGTTTAACATTTAAGAAACTGCTGTTTTCCAAAGTGGTTGTACTATTTTTTTTTTTTTTACATTCCCAGCAGTGTATTAGAGTTCTAGACCCTTTCCATCCTTGTAAGAACTGGATATGATATTTTTTTAAAAATTTGAGGAAGAGGGATCCCTGGGTGGCGCAGCGGTTTGGCGCCTGCCACTGGCCCAGGGTGCGATCCTGGAGACCCGGGATCGAATCCCACGTCAGGCTCCCTGCATGGAGCCTGCTTCTCCCTCTGCCTGTGTCTCTGCCTCTCTGCCTCTCTCTGTGTGACTATCATGAATAAATAAATAAAATCTTTAAAAAAAATTTTGAGGAAGAGAGAAAGAGAGCGTGTGCCCATGCACACATGAGTCCAAGAAGGGGAAGGAGCACAGGGGAAGGGAGAGGGAAAGGGAGAGAATCTCTAGTACATACTGCTGAGCATGGAGCCCAGCACCAGGCTTGATTTCATGACCCTGAGATCAAGACTTGAGTTGAGATCAATGGTTGGACACTTAACTGACAGCAATGGCATAGTATTCTTTTTAATTTTAGCCTTTCTGGTAAAAGTGTTTAATGATATCTCATTGTGGTTTTAATTTATAGTTCTTTAAGGCCTAATAATGCTGAACATCTTTTCATGGTGAAGCATCTGTTCAAATATTTCGCCCATATTTTTACTGAGTTATCTTCTTTCTGTTGACTTTTAAGAGTCCTTTACATATTCTGGATATAAGTGCCTTATAGATAAATGTTTTGCCAAAGTTCTCTTCCAGCCTGTGGCTTATCTCTTTATTTCTTAAACGTTTTTGATGAGCATAAGTTTTAAATTTTGTTGAAGTTGTCAATTTGTTCTTTTACAGGTGGTGAGTTACACCTGTTCTTTTACAGGTGTAGCTAAGAAATCTTTGCTTAGCCCAAGTTAACAAAGATCTTCTCTTAGGTTCCTTCTAAAAGTTTTACAGTTTTAGGATTTACATGTAGGTCTATGATCCATTTTGAGTCCACTGCTTTATATACTGTGAGACATGAATCAAAGCTCTTTTTATTTTTTTGCATTTTAACATCCATTTTTTCTAGCATAATTTGTTGGAAAGGCAATTCTTTCTTAATTGCATTGTCCTCATGTATTAGTTTGTAAGAACTCTATAGTCCATTCCACCAATCTATTTATCCAATTTGATGCCAAAATCATGTTCTTTTGATCACTGCAGCATTACAGTAAATCCTAAAATCAGGTGGTGTAACTTTATTCTTTTTATTCAACTTTATTCTTTTTCAGAGTTGCTCTGCCTATGCTAGGTCCCATACATTTTTATATGAATTTTAAAATAAATTTCTCCCAAAAAATTCCCACTAAAATTTTCGAGATTGAATCAAATCTATAGATCAATTTTTGGAGAACTGATATTTTAATATTGAACTTTCTGACCTATGAACAAGGTACATATTTCATTTATTCGTGTTATTAAAAATTTCTCTCAGTGTTTTTGTGATTTTGAATGTAGAAGTCTTTCATATTTTTTTGTCAGATTTATCCAAAGTAGTTTGTATTTTTTGAGGCTATTATAAATGGTTTCATTTATTTAAGATTTTATTTATCTAAGAGAGAGAGAGAGAGAGAGCGTGAGCATAAGCACACGAGCTTATTTATTTATCTAAGAGAGAGAGGGAGAAGCAGACTCCCTGCTAAGCACGGAGCCAGACATGGGGGGCTTGATCCCAGGACCCTGAGATTACAACCTGAGCTGAAGGCAGATGCTTAGCTGACTGAGGTACCCAGGCACCCCTAAATGGTGTTTTTTAAATCTCAATTTCCAAATGGCCATTGCTAGCATAGATTTTAAAAAAATATATATTTTATTTATTTATTCATGAGACACACACAGCGAGACACAGGCAGAGGGAGGAGCAGGCTCTATGCAGGGAGCCTGATGTGGGACTCAATCCCAGGACTCCAGGATCGTGCCTGGGCCAAAGGCAAATGCTCAACTGCTGAGCCACCCAGGCGTCCCAGATTTTTTTTTTTTTATATTGGTCCATATCCTGCATTCCATCAAATTGTCTTTATTTCTAAAAGCTTTCTGGATATATTTCATAGATAGATAATCATGTCATCTGCGAATAACTGGTTTACATTTTTCCTTTCCAACTGAGATGCTTTTTCTTTTTCTTGCCTGACTAGAACCTTAAATACAACACTGAACGAAGTATTGAGAGTGAACATCCCTTTCTACCTACTGATTTTAAAGAAAAATAATTCAGTAACTCATCACTAGGTATTATGTTAGGTATAGATTTCCTTAGATGTCCTTTAAGCTCCCTTTTATTCCTTTGCTGAGATTTTTCTCTTTTTTAATTAGGAATGGATGTTGGATTTTATCAACTGCTTTCTTTTGGTTTACTAATATGGTGAATTTTATCGATTGACTTAAAAATGTGAAGTCAACTCTGCATTCTTGGGATAAATGCCATGGTAATTTATCATGCCAGAATTATCCTTCTGACATATGGTTGGATTAAATTTGGTAAAATTTTGTTCAGAATTTTTACATCTATAACTTCTCTCTTCATAATCAGACTGGTTTGAGATCAACTTTATTGATTTTAGAGATCAAACTTCTTCAGTGTCTAATCTGTTGTTAATCCCATCCAGTATAATTTTTATCTCAAATGCTGTAGCTTTTTATCTTCTGATTTTGGTCTTTTGCATCTTCCAGTTAACTTTTTCAATGTATGGAATACATTTATAATAACTGTCTGATGTCCTTCTGCTCGAATTCCAATATTCGTGTAGTTCTGGTTTGGCTTCCTAGATTATTCTTCTCATTATGGGTCATATTTTCAAGACAATCTGACTGGACACTAGATCTTCTGATTTTTACCTTGTTGAATACTGGATATTTCTCATTTCTCTAAGTTGTCTTGACCTTCATTCTGGGATACTACGAGATATTTTGATCCTTTTGGGTCTCACTTTCATAATATGTTAGGCATGTCAGAAGCAGCACTCATTTTTAAGGCCAGTTATTCCTCAACTAACGAGGCCAGACCTTCCTGGGATCTACCCAATCATACATTAAAGTAGGCTGAATAATGGCCATCTAAAATATCAAGTTCTAATCCTTGAAACCTATAAATGTTACACCTTGTTAAAAAAAAAAATGGGGGTGGGGGGGGGTCTGTGAAAATGTGACTATTTTGCCATGGGGAAATTATCTTATTTGGATGGGTCCTAAGATGAATTATATAAGTGCGGTAGTGAGGTAGAGGAAGATTTGACACAGGCAGAAGAGGAGGAGGTAAGGTGACTATGAGGGAGAGAATGGAATAATGCAACCGTAAGTCCAGGCATGATGTCAGCTAAAAGAGGATGGAAGGAGCAAGGTCTCCTCTAGAGTCCTTGGAGGGATCTATGATCCTGCCAACACCTTGATGTTGGCTGAGTGAAACTTACTTCAGATTTCTGACTTCCTGAAGTGTGAGAGAATAAATTTATGTTGTTTTGGTCACTAAGTTTGTTGCAGCGGCAAGTGCAACAGACACTTCAGAGTCTGAGGTGGTCAGACTCTGCCTCAGTACCTTCCCTCTATGCATGTATAGACATGCATAGACTATCAAGACATTAAAGCTGGAGCACTTCTTTTGTTTTCTGTCTCTCAGGGATTACCTTCTTTCATTGCTTAATGTTCAGGATCTTTAAAACTGTCGTTTCATGTTTATGTCTGCTTTTTTGGGGGTTACTTCAGGCAGGACAGTTAATATGGTCCCTATTATTCCATCTTGGCTGGAAAATCCATTAATGTTTGTAGGCATCTTCCTTATTTTTTTGGTTAAACTTAAATGAATGCACAATGCATTAGGGCACTCTGGAAACCAAGGTATACAGTTTATATTTACTACAGATTTTTACCAAAGCATTATTTTTAGGCACTGAAAATATAGAGTAAATAAAATGTCAATAATGTTCAAAGAAACATTCTATCACAAACTGCTTAGAGTTCATTTTTCACTTATCTTTATATCACGAGGGCACATAGCCGATACTTATTAAAATAAACTGAGTTACTAAATGACCTTTTCATTTAAAAATAAATATGTAAGGCTTAGTGCCGCTGATAGTAATTTTTACTGAAATAAGAGAAAACACTGACCAAAGAATAGACTTGATCCCAAAAAAGTGATGAAGTTTAAAATTTTGAGTAACTGAAAAAAAATAAATAAAAAATAAAAAATAAAATTTTGAGTAACTGAATTAAGACCACATTTCAGATGAAAATGAATTAAGAATATATTCGATTGTCCATTATTATTTTTTAATACAATAACATTTTACTAGTGAAAGGAAACACTAAAGAAAAATTTTATCTTCCCCATAAAAAAGCAAAAGTTTAATTCAGATACTTAGGAAACTTCAAAAAAAATATTTCCACTCAAATATAAGTGGAAATTTATATCTAAAATACCAGATCTGTAATTGATTCATCCTCAAGGTTTATTATATTATTAGAAGTACATTTCTAGGACAGTCTAGCTTACTGAGATAATACTAACATCTGACGGTATATACTCTGTATTAAGCATTATGCTAAGCACTTTATGTGCACTATGTTTTTTAATCTGCATCATATCCTATGGCATGGACACTTTTTAAAATCCTATTTTGAAAGATGATGAAGCTCAGAAATAGTAAGTAACTTGCTGAAGGTCACATACTTGTGTAATTATTAGGAAGGATGGGACTTTAATTCAGTCTTGATGCTAAAGCTCATATTCTAAAAATGAACCACAAATTCATTATAAGTAAAATAGGGCTAATTGCAAAAACTTTCATTATAAAGTTCCCTTAGATAATGGTTTCCTCTAAGTATTAATTTTTTTATCTCAATATAAGAGTACTTTTATTTTGAAAGGTGAAATTAAACTGATCATTTGTAATATACAGCTGATCTTTGAACAGTATGAAGGTCAGGGGCCGAAATGCCCTGCACAGTCAAAAAATCCATGTATAATTTCTGAATCCTCCATAAGTTTACTAATCATGTACTGAAGACCTTACTGATAATATAAACAGTGGATCAGCAAATATTTTATGTGTTATATTATAAACTGTATTCTTACATTAAGGTAGGCTAGAGGAAAGAAAATATTAAGAAAACCATGACGAAGAAAAAACACATTTACAGTGTTATACTGTATTTACTGAAAAAAAAATGTGTGTATAAGTGCACTTGTACAGTTCAAACACATCTTGTTTAAAGGTCAACTGTATATACAAGCTCATAAGGCACTTGAATATTAAAAAAATTTTGTATTTAAAGAATGTAGTCTTTCATAAATAGAACAAAAATATTCAGAGGAAAACTATAAAATATTATTTTTTCTTATATGTATCTACATCGTTATGAATACAGAGTATATGAGAAGGGATGATGCAATGTGTAGATACAATTATTTGCATATTAACACACCTCCTTAAAAAGGATTTCTTTGTGTGTGTATAATAGATATTTACTATATGTGGAGAGTGGGTATAAAATATATGTAATATTTCATATTTCTCTGCCATCACTGGGTAGAAAAAATATGGATGAATGAAATAAGTCCCTCTTACAACAAGAGTCAGATGAAGTTATTTTATCAAAAGTCTCAAAGCAAATGCTCTGGAAAGGCAGGTTTTGGATTTTCCCATATAGGCACATTTGTATACTCCTGAGAGTGTAAGAGATGAACAAAAGTTAAGGGACATTAGAGAAGATTTCATCCCTGAATAAATTATAGTAATATTTTTGTTATTTACCTGAAGATTTTCACAGGTCTCTTGACTGTAAGTGAGTCTCTGGATTTCTGTAGGTGAAACAAGATATAAAGCTTGTCCATTGTTGGTGAAGCAGAATGTTCTGGCTATCCGCATGTTGGTGAGGGGCAAGTAATACACATCCAGTAGAGGCCTTAAACTTGGCAAACTTGAGAAAAACATTAAAAAGTGGTTAATAATAAACAAGGTAGGTTTGGAAAACAGTATGGAGGGTTTTCAGAAAGTTAAAAATAGAACTATCTTATGATCCAGCAATCACACTACTAGGTATTTACCCAAAGAATACAAGAACACTAATTCAAAGGATACATGAACCCTTATGTATACTGCAGCATTATTTACAACAGCTAAGATATGGAAGCAGTTTTTTTGTATCAATACATCTATGTATCTATATATATACACATGCATATATGTATATATATGTGTGTGTGTGTCATATACACACAATGGGATATTATTCAACCATAAAAAGAATGAAGTCTCGCCATTTGCAACAACATGGATGGAGCTGAAAAATATAACACGTAGTGAAATAAGTCAGTCAGAGAAAGACAAATACCATATGATTTCACTCTTATGTGGAATTTAAAAAGCAAAACAGACGAGCAAAGAGGAAAAAAAGAGAGAGAGAGAAATCAAGAAATATTCTTAATTATAGAGAACTGATAGAAGATGATGGAAGAATGGGTTAAAGAGGTGATGGGGATTAAGGACGGCACTAGTCATGATGGCCACTGGGTGATGTATGAAAGTATTGTAGCACCATATTATACTCCGGAAACTAATACAAAACAGTATATTAACAATTGGAATTATAAAAAAAATAAGGAAGGTAGGTTTTAATTTTGAACAAAGTATTACAGAAGGCAAAAAAATGGCAGGACCTTATAAACCTTTATGATTTAGAATACTTGAGAGGGAGATAAAACTAATTTGTGTTCTTCATAAACTTGTTTACTATTAACTGAATGAAAATAAATTCTCAGTGTATAAGACTGTAAACAAAAGCATTTAAGTGGGATACCATTCTGTAGTACTATGTTTTAAGGGTGTAAATGCCACATTTGTTTTCTTTAAAAATCTGTAACTCTTACCTAAAAGTCATAATATGTCCATTGGCACAGAAACAGGCAAGGCAAATACTGTTACTCAATGCTACAATATCTCCACGAAGCACAAAAGAGGTCTCTGTAATGTTTTGCTTGTAAGCACAGTTCTGAGTTGGCAGTGAGATGACTTTTGCTTGCTTTTCAGAACATATCACTGCATACTGGTTTTCACTGATTTCCTGAGAAGAGGACGGGGACACGGAGACAGGCCGTCGTTTCTTTAATTTCTCCTTTTCATCTTTTTCTTCAGGAACATTGTGTTCTCTCCAGGATTCATATGCAGGTGGCACTAAGCAGCCTGTGGTATCCAGGAATGCCATTCTCAGGATCGCTCCTTTTAACCTCAATATAGTACCTAAAATTTGGAGGTGTAGTAGATAACAAATATTTTAAACCTCACAGCAAATAGGTCGATTCCAACTGTGACACATGGTAGCCATTCAAAAACATGTAGAATGCATATTATGCTGAAATTGTATACCAGCTTACTGAAGGGATTCAACCTTCAATAATGTATCTGAATCCAGAAAAGAAATCAACATTATATGCCCCAACCAGATAAATACTGGGATGCCCAGAACTATGTCTTCTCTCTTATCTGGCAACTGTACCATAAACAAATTTGAGAGCAAGTGGATGGCATCTTAAGGTTGCACTGTCCAATATGGTAGCCCCTAGTGACATGTTGCTTCAGAGCCTCTGAAATGTGGCCTATCCAAACTGAAGCATGCTGTGAGAGTAAAATACATGTCAAATCTGAAGACTTAGTACAAAATATAAAGTAAAATATCTTAATAATTTAAAAATAATGATTACATGCTGAAATGAAAGTATTTTGGAGGGATCCCTGGGTGGCGCAGTGGTTTAGCGCCTGCCTTTGGCCCAGGGCGCGATCCTGGAGACCCGGGATCGAATCCCACATCAGGCTCCCGGTACATGGAGCCTGCTTCTCCCTCTGCCTGTGTCTCTGCCTCTCTCTCTCTGTGTGACTATCATAAATAAACTAAAAAAAAAAAAAAAAAATTAAAAAAAAAATGAAAGTATTTTGGATACACTGGGCTAAATAAAATGTTATTAAAATTAATTTCATCTTGTTTTTTTGTTTTTGTTTTTTTACTTTTTAATATGGCTATCAGAACATTCCTTATGTTGCTTGTCTTTCCAGGTTTTTTTTTTCCCTATATACAGAAGATTAGTAAGATTACCATCACTATGTAACCTTTTGTAACAATTAGGCATACAGAACATACTCAAATATTTATTGAGCTGAATGAAAAAATCAAACTGTTTCTTTAATGTAAAGACAGTTCATAGATTATCATTAAAATCATAATTACATTTTAAGTTCTAAGTAATGTTAAAGTCCACTGTATAAATAAGGGATACACTAATGAGGTACAATCATGTTTTTTTCTATCTAAATCAGCATAAATTAGTAATGAAAACCAGATTTTTCAGTTATTTCCAGGTCAGGCTCCACATATATTTGATGAAATTTAATCTTCTTTTCAATATATGAAGGTCATAAATTCTTTCTTAAGATCTAATAAGTCACCTTTTCCCAATACTTTAAAGAAAAATAACATTTTAAGACTCCACATTTAGATATTAAAAACAGCCAACTGTATGATGCTTAAAAAAATACTTTTCGCTTTTTCTCCTAAATATGGCATCATTCTTTTGCTTACAGAACATAGCATTTTAAGGTACCCTAGAATGCATTAGAACAGTTTTTTTTTCATTTTCTAATGTAGTAATCATTTTAGACATGATCCTAGAGTTAAAAAAAAAAAATCCAAAACCTAAATGGCTGTATAAATAAACAATATTCTGGAATCTTTTTCCATGGATTCCTTCATTAAAAACAAGACTATATCTCCATTTAGTTTACATTTTAGAATTCTTAGATCAATTCAAAAATGAAAAGTGAAGGCTTCTACTAATATAACAAGTCAGACCTTCAATAGAAGTATAGCATGAAAGTATACTTACCACTTGGAGAGACAATTACTGGCTGAAGAAGCCTTTGCTCTCCTCCTGGGGGAAGGTTCAGTGCAATGACAAGCACTGTTCCCAATGTAGTACCAACCCATAAACATGGCGAGGGAGAGGAATCTGCCTTTCGAGTAAAAGTTTCACAGAAATGAAGAGCAGAGATTGCTTCTCGAGATTCTTTATCAATGCTGGTTACACTGGAACTCCGTGATCGGCTGAAGGAATTATCTTTTATATCTGAAATGATTTAAAATGATGTGAGATTGCCCACGTTATAAAATATCATAAAAACTTGGCCAAATACTTAGTCTGCAAAAACACAAAACCTGTAGCATATTTTAGTTTTCTTTTAATTGAAAAGAAAAACAATTTACTCTTTATGTTAATTTTTTCCTTTGCTTAAATATAAAATACAAACAGATGAATTCGCACTTCTCAGAAGTAAGCTGGGTGCATTCCAGTGAAGTTTTGTATGTGTGATCTGCATGGTTTTTAATGCAGCACTTTGTTTTGTATCCTGGTTGCTTTTCTAATCTTAGACCTTACCACCTTCTTTTCTCATGATACTGTTTCTTCCTTTGGTAATATAACTTCATGGCTGGGTAGAATTAGAAAACTATGGGCATTTTCAGTTGTCTACATTTTAAAAATGCACTTAGAAGTAACTCTGATTCTACCTTTAAATTTGTTGAATGAAGAACTTTTTTTCAAATATGTCCACATGAAAGCCTTTAAGCCATAAAAATTTAGCCTTCATTTTTCTCGAAAGACATTTTAACTGTAATCAACATTCATCCAAGGCATTTTACATCAAAACATATTAACTGGCATCTGGCTTATACTTAATTGCATACCAGGTATAATCCCTTTATCTGGCTCTTTCTGTAATGATAGGGATACTTCAACATTAAACTAATAAACTCTCTCTTGTCTTCATCTACCTTGTTCACTGTGGCCAACTGCAAATTTACCTTGAGCCTTGGCCTCTTTTCTCTTGGAATTGAATTTCCAAATTTATGGGAATTTTTTCCTCTTATGTCTCACTATGCAAAATCAAAATACATCATTTCCTCAAAGTTCCAAATTCTTCTAATGGCACTTATATTCATGACAATCTTGTTCTAGGGAACAACACTTAAAATGAGTTTCAATTTTGCTCTTCCCTTTCACTTTACCTATACATCTGATGGGATGCCAAGTCCTGTTACTTTATTTTATTCCAGTGTTATTTCCTTCTTTCCACTACCAATCAACCTCCATTACCCTTTGTTCAGGCCTTCATCACCATTCATCAAGACTGCTGATAATTCCCAAGTGGTCTTCCCACCTTCATTCTGTCAGGCTTCTAACACAACTCAATTGAATTTTATAAGGTACAGTCATATTTCTATCACTTCTATTTAAAAAATCTTCAATGGTTCCTCTTTATTTGATCATGTTTAATATCTTACTCAAGTTTTTAAGATTCTCCACAAAATATTTCCAACTCTTTCCTGGCCCTATCTTCAGTACCTTGTGGGAATAAGCGGTGTCATTTATTGCTCACCAGACATTCCTTGCACTCACCTACTTCACACTTTTGCTTGTTATTTTCTTTCTGACTGCTTCCTGTGCTTCCCCCTTTTCTCGGTCTGTCAAGATTGTGTATAATTATATGCCACTTAGGTACCATCACTTTCATGAAGTTTATCTTGATCCCTAAAACCATGTATGGTCTTTCTCTACTTTGAATCTCGACAGCTTTTCTCTCCTATGGCACTAATAGTATATTTGTTCTGTAGTTCTTTCAGAGTTGTCTTAGGCCTATTCTAAAGTGACTCTAAGTTTCTTGAGTATAAGAGCTGTGTCATTTTTGATGCCCTACAGAGTTCAGCATAGTGCCTGGCTTAAAAAGTATCCAATAAATACTTGCTGAAGGCAGATCCATAGTTGAAAGTATCTAAAGGTGTGATACATTAAAATTTCCAGTAGTTTCTACTGTTCACATCTAATAAATAGTTCCTCAAATCATATGCTTTCAATGCTATCATGAAAGAAATGACTTCATGCCATAAAAGATTAAAAAAAAACACAGTCAAATCTTCTAAATTGTATTTTATTAAATAGAAAAGGTATAATTGAATTCTAACTATACCCTCTAAAAGCTTTTGTAATCAAATTTAAATTCAGGGGCGCCTGAGTGGCTCAGCTGGTTAGACTCTTGATTCTCTTGATTTTGGCTCAGGTCATGCTCTGAGGGTCCTGAGATTGAACTCTGTGTCTGGCTCCATGCGCAGGGGGAGTTTATTTGTTTCCTTTTTCCTCTGTCCTGCTTCTATTTGCATGCACATTCTTTTTCTTTGTCTCTCTCTCTCCCTTAAATTAATAAATAAATCTTATAAAAAATTTAAATACATAAATTGACAAATATTTCCCCAAATAATAATTCTAGACAACAAAATTTTGATTACAGTTAGCCTCTGAAAATAATAGAGTTACTAGTTATGGCAATAACATGGACAATTTCAGGGCAGCCTGGTGGTTCGGCAGTTTAGCGCCACCTTCAGCCCAGGGCTGATCCTGGAGACCCGGGATCGAGTCCCACGTTGGGCTCCTGCATGAAGCCTGCTTCTCCTTCTGCCTGTGTCTCTGCCTCTTTTTCTCTCTCTCTCTCTCTCTCTGTGTCTCTCATGAATAAATAAATAAAATCTTTTTAAAAAAATAACATAGGCAATTTCAAACTACAGTTCCTAAAAATGTTTTGTCTGTTTTGTCTGTACTTCCTGTTAAAGAGTTTGACATGGCAAAAAAAAGAACTATTTCCTGTAAATGAAACAATTTTCTATAAGCAACAGCTCATTACTGGATGAGTATGTAATATTAAATATATAAGCTGATTCCAAATGTTAACTCTAAAGTTTTCAAAGTTATTTTAGTAAAATAATAGAAATTTTCCTTATTTAAGATTTTAAGTAATCTCTATACCCAACATGGGGCCCAAACTTACAATCTCAAAATCAAGAGTCTCATGCTCTACGCTCTACTGAGCCAGCCAGGCACCCCAAATAGTAGGAATTTTAGATGTAGTTCCCAATGATAAAAAAATATTTGTTACTTTAATAAATCATACACATACCAGGTGATTGGACATATATTTTCAGTTGTGGCCCAGTGACAAAGATAGAAATCACTGAAAATTTGATAAAATTTGAAGGGCATCTAGGTGGCACGGTTGGTTAAGCATCCAACTCTTGGTTTCAGCTCAGGTTGTGCTCTCATGGTCATTAGACTGAGCCTCATGTCTGGCTCTGTGTGCAATGCAGAGTCTGCTTAAGACTTGCTCTCCCTCAGCCCCTCCCTCTTGCCCTCTTAAATAAATAAATTTTTAAAAAATTAAAAAAGAAAATTTGGTAAGATGAATTTCATTATAAATTCATCTGTGTAAAAATTCATACTCTTCTCTATTAAAATTACCATAGGTAATTCACAACTATCTGTACTTCAAATGTAAATTCATAGGCCAAAAAAAAATGTTTTGATTTAATGGACTAATTTAACTATATAAAATTCAAAAACTACAACTGCATTTTATTATGACTTCTCTATAAAAGTTAGCTTACCAAAGAAACTCTTGAGTTTAGACTAATATGTGAAAATGAAGTGAACCTGTATCAATCCTGAACTTACAAAATCCTATCTGCCTAGAACTGTTTGAAATAAAGTTAGAATTTTTAGTAGTTCATGAATTACAACTTGGACTGACTATTGTTAAATCAGATGTTGTGGATCTTTGTGGCTTGAATTTTAGAAATTGGGTAAGCTAAACAAATGGAACAGAAATTTTAGTTTAGATTGTAGTAATAAGAGCAGAAATGAAAATAGCTACCACTAAGAAAGGCCTACCATGTGATATACACTCTCATAATACTTTACATTTATCATTCTATTGAATCCACAAAACAAGTGAAAAGTTTTATTATTTTAATTTAATGAATAATAAAATAGACAAAGCTAATCAGTGGAAGAGTCAGAACTTGTGTCATGTCCAAGTCCAAAACTTTCTCAGGCAACTCCAGATAGACAAGGAATTAGTCAAACCACCAAAATACAAGGGAGGGTTTTGGTTATTATTGACAATAGTTTTTAAATACAAAAATATATTTGAACATATGTTACTGGAAGCTCTGAAATCAAGTAAAATTTGTTGTTAATTCTTCCATCCAGCTGTAGGTGTTACAAGCAGGTTATAAAATCACTATCATGTTATTCTCTGGATGCCTAGAACATTTTAGTTGCATATATTACCCTCTTCTTTCCACATAGAAACTTATATAACAACAACATTTTATTCCCCACATCGAAACATAAAGCCAAGAGAGTAAACTAGGACATAAGACTAATTCACAATAAGGTATAAAAAAGTCTATTTTTTTTTCTTCTAGTTTGATACTAGAAAAGTAACATCAGAAATCTAACAATGTCACGTATGCGACTGGGCCACGAAATGCAGCATGGTGAAGTTATAGTCAAAGTGGAGTGTTACAAGATTTCTTCACAAGCCAAAGTGATTTCTAGTTACAGAAGGTTCCAGAGCTAGCCCAATAGCCTCAGATGCTTTAGGACCATCTGGTAGCTTGAGCCTATCAATAGAATTGTTTTTCCCCATTGACTCCCCAGCCAATGTAAAACAATTACCAGATAAGAATCTCTGTCAAAAAATAGTTCAGCAGTATAATTACTTGAAGGGAAAATTACTTCATTGAGACTGTTCCAAGGTATGTATCAATCAGTTGTAATTGGCTAAGGGCACCGAAATACATTGGCATGTAAGCTAAAACATGAACTGAATAAAGATGATTTATATAAAAGCATGGAATATATATGCTGATTGAATTACTTATATACTTATATAATTTATAAGTATAATATTCTTTTTAAAAATAACTATGGCATTTTTTTTTTACTAATTTTAAAAGTACTTTTACATGTGTCTTCTCCAATTCTTAAGATACTAGAAGATACAAAACCATTTTAACTAGCAGTATTTAGTTATTAAAATCACAGGCCTCTGAGAGTGATGAAAACTTTGCCCCTCAGATACGCTTGGTTTCAAATTGTATCTTTCATTTATATAGTGGAAGGAGCGATTTCCTTCTCAAAATATATGTTATCATATATTCTAGGATTAATTCTTTTTTCCCGTAACACCAGTGTTACTACAGAATTCTACTAAATTGTTTTTCTTATGTTCAGGAACAGAACCTTGTACTGCTGACAATGGAAGATTATGCTTACTCACTGATAATCATACACTAACTGAGATAAGAATCTGATTTGGAAATGCTAAATTAGTACAGTGAAATGGACAACACCTAAGTTTGCATTATGCATAAAAAGGCAGTTAAGGAATCTAGAGAATAAACAGTGAGATGATGATGGGGGCGAGCAAATGTAAGGGAGGAAATCTAGTTATTTCTAAGACAAAGGCAGGTGAAATCATCTTCACCTAGTCTACTTTTTATTTAAAGGCAATCAAAATTTCTGAAATTGAAAAAAAGGGAGTTTAAAAAGAAAGGCTTCTTTATTTTTATCTTTACTGAAATGTCATTTGTCCCTATTCTGTGTTTTCAGGGAGCTGTTTTTGAGCCGAATATAAAGCAAAAGGAACATGTAAATATATTCATTCTCCTTTCTTAGATTAGTTGCATAGACAGTACTACAGAAAAAGAAATACTTCCCAACTTATCACCAAAAATAATGATTCTTGATATGAGAAATTTATTGTAATACAGAAAACTAATTTATTGTGAAAACGTTAAATTCTTGTAAGTTTATAAAGTTCAAATAAGCTTTCAGATGGTTAAATGAGATATAACAACAAATTAATCTGAAATTGCACAAATTTTAGTCTTATGCTCAATCTTGTTTAAAGTATGAAAGCTGAGAAAACATGTAATTTCTGTTTGCTTGAATTTATAATCTTTTCTAATTTATAGATGCCATTCTAGAGGATTAATCCTTAAACACCTTAGTCATTTTAAACTTGATTTCTGATTTCTAGTCTGCAGTAATTCTAAATCTTTTGATTTCCTTGTCTTCCCCTTGAAGGGAGTTTAACTACAATGGATTTTATTTATTTATATTACTTACCTAAGTCGGGCTTTAGGTCAGTAGGCAAGCTTAACTTCCTTGACATCTTTGCTGAAAAATAAAATGCATTTTTAAAGTTCTGAAGAATATTTGATTCATATTTGTTAATACCAACTGCTCTTCCAGACAGCAGTAAATACTTTTATTACTAAATATAGATGCTAAGATAATTAAAACATGATTAATAATATTATGGGTGGAAAGTAAATCTTGTTTCGACTTTTTAAAAAGTTTGTACTTACTTGATGTAATATCTGTGTGCTTGAAGCTGTTACTTCAAGAAAACTTTTTAATTCTGTTAATTATTTCTTAGGTTCACAAGAAAGGGTTAGTCTTTTCTGAGAAGGAGAGTCATTTCTCAGAAGGAAGGTGTTGCAGGTAAGGCCAATAGAGGCAGAAGACTGAGTTTGGGTAGTTGATATAATAAAATCTTTCCAGTTCCTCAACCTCATAGCTACTGGGTTCATTATTTTTTTGTTAATCTCTAGAATATAGGACAACCTCTATCTAAGATTAAATTTAAGTATGTGATTGTATCATACAACTATATGGATTCGTCTCTTCTTCATGTAAGTTAATACTTCTACTTATACGTCAATGGAAAAACAGAGTCATAATCTAAAATTATGGGATTTACAAAAATGTAAACTATCTCTATGTCATTTCTATTTAGCATCAGAATAAAAAAGACTGTATAAACTTACTGGAATTCACTTTCCATCCTCAAAGTCAGTTATTGCCTTAATCTAGGAAGTGATTTAAAGTTAGGAGTTGTTTAACTATATGATGTTAGTGGCAGTGCATGCGTAACAGAATAGTGCTTCCTATGTACAATTTTGAACAAGCACTTGTTTGTTAATACACGAATGCATATATTGGGTTAAATTTTGGGCTGTTAAGAGATATTTAAAGCACAGACCCTGCTAGTCCATAAGGGCGCCATGTAAACAAAGAAATCCAGTCATAGTATATAACTTCCACATCTAAAAAAATGACAAATCCAGTATTAGGAAAGAGGCATTAGGCAAACTGGGAAGGGATGGGGGAATCAAGTTCTCATTTCTAAGCTTCATCAATCTAATCATCCTTTAATGAAAAAAAAATGAGTCAAATATACAGTCGTATCCCATTTTCACCCAGAAATAATTAGTATCAGTCAAAAGATAAAATAAACTAGCCAATGAAATCTGTGGTTAGTTGCTTTCATATAAATGGTTGCCATTGTATTTAATATTCAATTCCCTAAAATTAGAAGATATCATACCCCCAAAACTATCTTCTAAAATGCAATATTAAACACTTTCAAACGAATTGAGGTTTTCACCAAATATCATGGGTACAACATACACAGACTGATAAATAATATCTATACAATATTATATGTTATCTGAAACAGAAAAATCAGTCTGGTAGAGTCTAAAGACATTAATCAGATGATGTGACTGCCTCTCTAGACTTCAGTACTCTGCTTTGATCCAGCTATTCTTTCAGGCCAGTGATTATCAAAAACTTGAATGTATACTCCAATCACCTGGTGATCCTATTAAATAAGATTATGATTCTATACTCCTGGACTAGGGCCTGAGATTTTACACTTCCAAGAAGCTCCCAAAAGATGCCAGTGCTGCTGGTCTATGAACCAGTTTGAGTAGCCAGGTCCCTAGACTAAAAGAAACTTCAGGATAGGATCAAAACTAACTGAGCAAACCTAGCATGCATATGCAGTTAGTCCATAATAAACATTCCCTGAACAAGCTTTAATAAATAGTTTCTAAATGTAGAAGGGTAAAGAATAGTGGTTGGGACTGGATTTGGCATCAGGTCAAACCTGAGATGGAATCCACTTCAACCAACTACCAGATGTGTGACCTTAGGCCAATCACTTAGCCCTTAAACCTGAAATTTCCTCATTTGTTAAGTGAGGATAGATAGATAGTAACACCAATTTCATAACTGTGAAGATTATACAAGATGATGTAAGCAAAGCACTGAACAGAATACCGTCATGACATACAATATGGATTTGATAAATGTTAGTTATTAATAATAAACAAATGAAATGATTTCTAAACGAACTATAAAATGCTATACAAATGAACTACTAATACACTTGTAAACAACCCAATGTTCCTTTATTCTAATTCTATGATAATACTCCAAGTAACTAAAACAAGAAAATTGGAAACAACAACAACAAACCCTTAGGACATTAAGTATAGAAGAGTATGCTATGCACCACTGTAAGTTCAACCTCTTTTAAGTTTGTTTCAAAAAGTAAATTCAATATAGAGCTATAATAAAGAATAAATAAATAATATACAAGCTATTTCAAGTTTATTCTTCATTAATGAGAATAGAGTAAGTAAATATTTTGTTAGAAATGTATTCTTTAAAGATTTTATTTATTAGAGACACAGAGAATGAGAGAGAGAGAGAGAGAGAGAGAGAGAGAGAGAGAGACAGAGACACAGGCTGAGGGAGAAGCAGGCTCCATGCAGGGAGCCTGACATGGGACTCAATCCCAGGTCTCCAGGATCACGCCCTGGACTGAAGGTGGCGCTAAACTGCTAAGCCACAGGCGCTGCCCTAGAAATGTATTTTTTGAAGCTTTCACTCAATAACCATATACATATTCTTGCCAAAAAATTTCACTAGCATGAAATTTCCTTCTGAATTTCTTAAGTGTATGCTTTCAATCTCCTTCAGCATTTTATACTAGAAATTCTTTTATATAAATTCTCAAATATTTAAAAAATGTAGGTTAATCTTTCCCGTAAAATACAACTTTTTTGGTCTAACATCTAACACTACTTAATTTCTTTATCATGTTAAAAAGAAACCCTGAATATAACTAACTTCTGAATAATTCTTCACTTGGTCTAATTTTGACATTTTATTGAGATTTTAAAATCACACGCAAAAATGCGTAGGCAGATTTTCTGACTACAGTAACTACTCTTTAAGTGTCACAAAATGATTCAATTACAGGGTCTAATATTTCTTCCTAAAACACTTTGCAATGAGACCCACAACTTGACCATGAGCTCAATTATAGTATTCAAAAGATAAGATATTTAAGCCACACTGCTGTAACACTTTGATATAATTTTAAGCAATCTCCTTGAACAGAGAACTTGAAATGACATGTGTTAAAGGATTAACCTTTGCTATTTTGTGTTAATTTCGCTTACCAATTAATATTATAAAAAAGAGAAATAATAATTATAATGAATAGAGAAACATTTTTGTTACACTAGAGGTGGGGACCAGGAGAGAGGGATACTTATTAATCTATAAAACATTTATTGGGCACATGCCAGCCATGTGCCAGAAGGCAGGGATTTCCTGCCCTCTAAGAGTTCAGTCTACTAGAGGAATGAAATAACTCCACTGCACTGTACCAAATACTAACAGATGTAAGCAAAAGGTGTCAATTAGAGTACGCTGAATTTATAACTTTCTTACCCTGCAATACTCATCTAACACCATGGGATATGGAGATAAGGCCAGTAAAGAATAACTCAGACACCATACATTTTCACACAACTGTGTGTTCCTCACTTATTTGTTGACCATATTTTTCTTCTAGTGTAAAATTTACATACAAATGAACAAATCTTAAATATATATTGTTTTGATAATGCACACACCTAAGTAACTCAACCCTTCACATGATATAGAAATTCGTCAACACCCAAGAAAGGTTATACATAGTCTTCCCAATCAAATCCTGTCCTCATCCCTAGAAATATACATACATTGGTCTGATTTTATTTTCTCACCACAAATCAGTTTTGCTTATTCTAGAACTTCATATGCATAAAATTACCTGGTAGAAACTCCTGTGTAAGGCATCTTTCACTTGGGACAATGTTCTTTATCTTCTTCCCAAAATATTTAAAAACTTACATTTTTTCTTCAATAAATAGAATTAGAATTTTTAGATGAAAAACAGTTTCAATCAAGAGATTCACAGGCATTAATAGATTAACATCTGTCTCGTCCCATATGCATTTTACCTTTAAGCTTTTTCGAATTGTGTTCTTTACAGAAAATTTGGAAAATATAGAAACAGAAAATAAGGCCATCGTGAATGCCCATAATCAAGAGGCAAGACGCTTGCATATTTCCTCCTTTTTATATCTATTTTATTTAATACACAAATCTGTATCCTGCTTTATTCCCCATTACTAAAAGTATTTTCTCACATCAGTTGTTATTATTTTAATGGCTGCCTATTTATATGAACACTTACTGAATAAGGTTTTTTTCTAATACCTAAGACAATAAAAGTGTACGAAAATATTTTCATATATTTTGATTATTTCCCTAGGATAGAGTACCACAGGGGACAATCATTTCTAGTACAACTTTCCCCAAACCCCAAGGTCTTCTCAATTATGTCTCTAAGTAGCTTGTTTTCCTTTTTAAAGTTTAAAAGAAAGGCATATGAGCGTATTTCACAAACTTCTGTTTAGCTGAAGACAGAGAAAAACATGCCATCTGAGAAAATCTGGTAATATGTACAAGTCCCAGCTCACAACTATATCCCCGACTCAAGTCATTCAATTTTCTTATAGCATTGTGTGTAGCTGAGAAATCTAGAGCCAGACTGATTATTGTCTACCTTTGAATGTAACTTGTCTATTTTATGGCAAGGGGAAGAGCAAAAGGAGGACGTGGGGAAGTATTTAGCTCCTGGGCATTCCTCACTGTATTTGTATTTTTCTGCTGTCAGGTTCTATAGTCCTTTCTTCTGTAGTCTCTATCCAGTGATAGAGACTCATCTGGGTAATTTTATCGTATCAGATACTGAACCTTCAGTACAAGAGTTTTCATGTTATTCATTATAAAGTTGCTATTTTCTCTCTACTGCTGCTATTCTCTGTTTATTATGACTATTTTTTTCTTTTCAGTAGTAAAACATATTTTAGCCCTACTTTAAAAATCCTTATCTGCTAATTTCAGCATCTAGGTTGTCTTGAAATCCGTCTCTACTAATTGTTTTATTCTTAACTATAGGTCACGTTTTCCTACTTTTGATTTTGAAT